TGGCAGGATCAGTCACCCGGGCAAACAACCCTCCTCCAAGAAGAATTGTGCTATGCCCCCCCGATCCCTATAGAGCGAAAGAGCTGCCTGGTGATCCCTAGGTTGCAGCATGTCCGGTTGTTAACTCCTCGCGCCGCTGCCGCCGTTTCTAGGACCGACCGACGCCTCACCTGCACAGGTACCTACGTAGTGTAGTCTCGGTCGCACATTCAACATAGCGTTCGGACTCATGTGCCTTCCAGAACCAGGGGTATTCGAGCCTGCTGCGTACGATTAGCCAGCCTTGCAGCGGCAAAAGGATTAGACGTCCCCCCATGCTATGGTTCCCTGCGGTCCAAACCCGGTGCCGCTTTAGGTTAGGGAGCTGGACGATAATAGCTCCTCCGCATCCCAAAGCGCGCTGCCCTCCTAGGCGCGCAACACTAAGTAATCCAAGCCAACCCACATTACTGACTAACGGTGGATAATCATATTTCTTAGAGGTACTAAATACAACTCCATGAATGAGCAAAATGAAGGTTGCATTAATGATAAAGATCTCTGGGGAAACCGCTAAAAAAAGATTGAACATGTGGGAGGATCCGAACGAATTCTGCTTTCATTTCCCCCGTATGGAGCACTGAGTTACTTACGTTACGGTCTTCAGCAGGCAGGCTGCACTCTAGGCGGCTAGGAAGGCTCGCTAGACCAGCAGCCAGACCAAGAATGAATGTGTAATGATGGTGATTCCACACCAGGCTCAATAAATAATTGAATGTAGAAAGGGGATCCTAAACAAAAAAGGAGTCCATGACCCCTTTTTAGAGCGTATAAGGGGAGGTCGAATTCCAAACCTTTTCTCTCGAGTGTACCCATTACCAAAAATATACGTCACTTTGGGACACATGCGCATAGCCGCCGCGCGTAGCTAAAGGTCAACCAAAAAAAAGAGCTCAAACACTTTTTTTTTTAGTTCCACTGAGAAAGTCTTTTCTTATAAAAGACGCCACTCTACGAGGGAAGATGCAGATAAAAGGCCAATAGCCTGATGTCAGCTTCTACGGCATAAGCTTTAGATCTATCAACGAATAATAAACATTTCATAAGAAAAGAAAAATTTTTTGTTTAAATCTCAAAGAAAGGTATAGGTGAAATTTGGAACAGTCATTTCAATCTTTTTCTTCCAATTCTAAGAAAGAAAAATCCGTCAATAAATGACGAACTCCATTATACAGATGATAGGACAGGGCTAAGGCAGTAATCTCGACGGAGATTAGGATGAGCTTTGATGAATAAAAGAAGAATTGGTAGAAATTCTCATAGGTGAAGCAAATCAAACCAATTTTCAGACAAAGAAGATAAAAAAAGAAAAGTATAGTGGCTAGGAAAGCTCCGGAGATTCTATGGGAAATTGAAAACGTCGAAGTAAGCTGTGGCTTATAAATAGGAAGATGAGGAGATAAGGGGCGAAGGATATTCATGATATTCGGAAAGATTTATGTTCATTCGCTCTGCTCGCAGAGCGGTATACCGAAAAAAAGAAGCGACTACCTTACTTAAGCAATTCTTCTTATTCTTATTCTTTCTTAGTTGAAGTTCCTATATTGGTTTTTTCTTTCTTTTATGAATGTTATAACTCCAAATTCTTTGGTAGCGGACCTCTTTGATAGTTCGACCGTTATCCCCCGTCTAACTCAACTATTCGACTGTACGGCTATTGTGATTGCGAGAGAAAGGAGGGATGGCGCCTTCCTTTACCATCTGGCGGTTGAAAACAAAAGTGCTTCCAGGTACACGGCTGTTAGGCTCATCCAAGGCGTATTTACGGAAGTAGCAGGGAACTTGACCGTCAAGTTTGAAAAAAGCTGGCCAAGCCTGTGTCACTTTCTTACGTCAGGAGAAAGGGAGATCAAAGAAGTATGGGGCCGATACGCGAAGGATCAAATCATAGAGATAGCGGATCTTAAGAGGCGGAAGAAAAGGAACCTCGGCGACCCAGAGATCGCGGAGTCCGCGCCCGTGCCGAAAGTGAAGAAGCTTTCCTCTCCTTTCAGTCGAGCATGCCCGCCCTTTAGCACTTCCCTTCCCGAAGTGGGAGTAGGAGAAAGGAAAGCGCACTCGATCAATTACCATGCCGTGTCGTAAGACAAAAAGTCACCCGCAGGAGCTTAAAACCAATATCTTGGGGAAAGGCCTCTACTCTACGAACCAAGTCTTTCTGACGAGGCACCAGCTTTNGAATTACGGATTCCTAAACCTAGTAAGGGAAAGCGATTCTACTCCAATTGCATTCATCAGTCGGATGAGAGTGAGAATAGAAAGGAAGCCGGGAGGAAGAATGGAGTATAGCATTACCTCTAGAGTACAACCCGGAGCCTTCTTTTCGTAAACCCTACTCCTGCGCCCCTCAATCCCATATCTACTACTTAGTCAAGCCCTTAACTACTTCTATATCTTAGAACAACCCTGCTCTCTGATCGACGTTTTATAGTCTGCATATCTATGGAAAGAGGAAGCTAGGAGAGGATTCTAAACAATTCTATCGAGCCGAACAACAAAAAGAGAAAGATAGAATACCTTTCTTAGCTAGCCTAGCGTGCTAGAAACCTACATGGAACAAGAGCCAGATCGAAGACATTCCTTTCATTCTTTTATACCCCTCTCTTCTTAGTTGCTCCTCTTTCTAGGGATCTAATGGTCGTAGACCACCTTCTTGTGACTATGTTGAAGAATTCTTTCCCCCCTTTGAGTTCTCGAGTGAAAGGGTCCAAGCCATAGGAAAATATCCAGTTTCTCTCGCAACATATCTAGTTTATCCTGAAGCAGCATTTCTCGAAGTAGCATTCCCATAAGTAGAGGATGAAACCTTTGCTTGTTTATCCCGACGAGGGTTTATGAATCACTCAAACGAGCCTTTCTAGCCGCATCTGAATCGGCATCCCTATCCATATGTTTATGCGCAGGGGCATCCAAATCCGAATCTGTAGAATCTATTGGGGAATCCCCATCCGCACCCGAATTGGCTAAATCTAGAATAGTGGGTCTTGTTCCGATGCGGGAAAAAATCTTTTTAAAGGGCATCTCGGCGAAAGAGGACTGAGAACCATAAGGCGAGCGCCAAAACACTAGCACAAACTGCTCCCACAGACACGCATGATAAGGGGGTGTGGGGACAACCAGGCCACCACTTTTACCAGATATGGGTCCGGACGACCCAAGAGCCCGCCACTAGAACCCAACCCTTAAGAGGCTAAGGTCCAAGGGGCTACTGCAGGAAGTCAGCTTCACCTGTAACCTTAAGGAATACAGAAAGTTACTCGGAATTCCTAGCAAGGACTTTGCCTGATATTCATTCCTAAATCCCTTTCACCCTTAACTAGCTAACTCGATGGGACGTCAACAGCGGGAATGCCAAATGCAAGACCTGGACCTGGTTCACGCAGTCAAGCAGCAAAGACCTCTTTCTCTTCGGGAGCTTTCGTAACGGCTATAAAGAATGGGTCTTTCCCCTCGTGAAAGGCTATTGGGATCGATCCCTTCAACCCTCCTTGGCGTGGAAGGTCGCAAGAGAAAAGAAAACTTTTCTTCTTAGCAGCTTTTTCAACCTACCCGAGGTAAGGAAGTAAAGCAACCAATAGCCTTTTTACATATCTTCTTATCTAAGTGGGTGTTTGGGTATAAGAATTGTGAAATTCCGGAAAAAAGTTAAAAAAAAATTAAAGTAAAAATAGTGTTTGAAAATTAGAGCTATTTTTGAATTTTTTTTGAGCGATTTGAAGCGAAAATTTTGAAAATGACTTGGAGTTACTTAAATTTCCGAAAAATTTCGAAATTCAACTTTTAAGTAAAATTTGAATTTTTCATGGCCAAAGACTAATTCCGAAAAAAGTAAAAAATTTCCGTAAAAAATGAAATTTTCATGGCGAAATATTGATTCTGATAAATTTTGATATGCTCATTTTGAACTCAATTCTAGATCTACCTTTACTTCAGATTTGTTACGTAATATATTTTTTTGGTTTGGCTGAAGTCATTTGGTTGTTATTTAAGATTATCTCAGTTACAACTCTACATGACAAACTTCACCAACAAGGGTTGTAGTAGAGTGGTAAGTACTCCTTCATCCTTAACTAGAGGTCTCGAGTTCGAGCCCCTGGGTATGGAATCGCCTTTGTTAGGGAGCGCTTTACCCCCAACGTGGGACTTCTCGGCGTGAATCCGAATTTAGTCGGGCTCCAATGTGGATACCCGACACCGGATGAGAAACCAAAAAAAAATAAAAATACATGGCAAACTTCAACTTTTGCGGACTGCTGCTTTGTTTTCTTTCTCCTCTCCCCATACCTTTTTTTTCTCTTGATGTCAATTAGCTGGTTTTATATGCATCACCTCATGTATGCATGCAACTGACTCGCAATTTGCAGTTACAGTAGCAGTTTTTAACAATCCTTTCTCATTGTCTATTACTCCCTCTGTTCCAACCCACTTTATGTGTCACAGTGAATGGGCTGTTCTTCCTTTAACTAGATACTTCGGATTCGAGTCCTAGGTATAGAAAAATACTTGGTAGGAAGCGTTCCCCCCGAATGGGGCTCTACGCAGCGTGAATCCGGATATAAAGCTTCAATGCCGGTACCGAACACCGGGTGGAAAACCAAAAAAAACATCTATTTGACAATTCTCTAACATTTTTAACTTCTAATCCGATGTCCCACACCCACATTAAGGTTTGATTAACTCAAATTCACACTATGTAAGGCCCATTAAAAAAGTAGTACTCGCTATCAGAATCTTTTTATTTTTTATTTTTTATTTTTAGGGCTCAAACTTGAGACCTCTGGTTAAGAGTGTTGATGGATCTTATTCGTCTCACAACAATCTTTGATGGTGAAAACTCTTTAACTTTGAATTTTTCTGTTTATCCTTAGTGACATAATCTTAAAGCTACATAAATATTATGACATATTTAAAATTGAAGTTTACGAAATTAAACTCTCGGCCTAATTTAATATGCTGTCATATAAATACCCAATAAAATATAATGTCATATATAACAAAACAAATAGAGTACCTGGTTTGATGGAGACTCCCTACCCTACTTTATGCAAAGACAACAATAACATAAATGAAATTAAAAGGACCTAAAGACAACTTCTTCATTCTACATCAAAATCTTAGCTATCATGTCTCTGCAAACTGAAGAAAATTAATCCACATAAACAGAAATGAATAAAAAGGACCTAAAATTAAAGATCTTCATCCTATTATAATAATCTAATTAGTACTAATATTGACTCCTTAAGCAGTAAGAAGTACTATCCTTACTATAAGTTGATCATATGGTTATTGATCAGGGGCGCATTCGGTGGCAAGTTCAGAACCCGTAAACCTCAAATTCTGACTCCGTCTCTGTTATTATTGACGACCCCATGACCATGGTTGTGGGAATTAACAGCAGCAATATCTTTCTTCATACCCCATTCATGAATCCTCAAATGAAGCTCAGCAGCAGCAATCAAGAAATGAACAGCTTGAATTGGTTTCAAAATTCCCAAAATATCCTTTAGTGTCCTCAACCTTAAATCATCAGCCTTTTTCAAAACCTCCAATAAATTTTCCTCTTTTTTAGCAATATTATTCTTCACTTTTTCCTCCTCATTTTCCTCTACTTGTCTTCCCTCTTCCCTTAATATTTCACTCACTATATGTGATAATTCAACCATTGATGTATCTGCAATTGTTTCTTGAACTTTAGCTAATCTTTCACTCAATTTTTTTTCTTCCCTTAATGTCTTATTTTGTAACTCATCAATTTTCCCAAGTTGAATACCAGAAAGATCTCCTAAATCTCCTGTACTAATTCCTCTAAATAAATCATGAAAACCAGCTTCAAGTTGTAAACCCGATTTCGAATACAATAAATGAAAAGCCATACTTGGTCTCCATCCTCCAATCCATAAAAATGCATCTTCAAGATTACTTCTCCATGTTGGATTTAACATGCCTAAAACATCTTCTTTAGCACTTGTTGATTTTTCTTTGTAATAATTCTCATAGTGGTGTATAACACGTTGAATCAAAGGCAACAACATTCTACGATTGTTTTCTTCTATGGCATTGACATCTTTTGAGGCGCGCACAAGCTGGTCCAAATCTTGGTTCTGTTCAACAAGCCATGACTCGAAAAACTTGTGAAATGTCTCGCGATTTTGTACTCCGTTTCTATTGCTCATCAAGTGTTGGTCCATCGTTTATATGCTGTTGGAAAAAAAAAATATTCCTATTAAAGATGGAAAATAAATAAATAAATAAGATGCTAGAATTGACAAGAAAAGATACCGTTTTGAGGGCATCTTTTTCAGAAAATATTGTGTCTTTTAAACTATAGGAACATTAAAATTTCAGAAAAAGTATGTATATATGAGTAAGCGAACATACCTGTTTGTTTACATGTGAAAAGAAAATTTGGATTTTAAGAAGAAGGTTCAAGATATTTATATTAAGTACGGTTGAGAAAGCCGACAAGAAGTAAAAACCAGAGCAGACCCAGTGGGCTAAGTAATCTAGCTAGGACTCAGTATCTGGCTGGAGTACTTTGTATGTTGGCAATCATATAATATTCCTGTTTATTGAGTTCTGTTCATTGTATCTGTGGCTTGAAATACACATACAATAGTCAACCACATACTATTTTGGTACTAATATATGTTGTTTACCTCGAAATACGAGTAACAATTAAAATTTGTTTGTGGTTTTAAGGATACGTGATTTAATTTAATACTAATTAATAACCAAGAAATCAAACGTATAAATTAAAGAGGTTAGTTGAATCAAACCAGTGCTTAAGCAAGTCTTGACCTCGAGCTATGATGGCTTCGAGGTAGGTCAACAAGAACAGTAAAGTAAAGACAATAAAGTTAAGAGACAATTCTGATGAGTAATGAGCAAGAAAGTAAGAGCGTATATTCTTTTGCCAATGATTGAATGATGCGTTAAAAATGATTGGTGTCCCCTTTATATAGTAGGGGAACCTTAAATAAGGTACATTTGCATTTATAGTACGGAATCTTATTGGGCCAGCTGTCTAACCGCCTAGTACAAATCCGTACTAACTCGTACAAATCTATTCCGGAATTTACGCCATGATCTTAGGGCCCTTGTGGGAATCTCGCTCTTTCTGTTATAAAACCATAACGTATTATCTCGAGGTTGACCATACTCGGCTCCGATGTTCCTCGAGCACTTAGATCTTCGAGTCTCGTATTCTGCCTTCGAGCTCGAGCTCAATCCATATTAAACTTGTTCTCGGTGCGACCCCTCGAGCCTACAAAATCGGGAACACATGATTTTGACCGTATACAGATAGTCCCCGCGTTTCTTAGAATAAAATGATAAGAAACGACTTGAGCCTCGATTCTCCGGAGTTCTTGATGATGTCGTCATTCCTGTTACGTAGGCGCTCGAGGTGACCGAAACGTCCTGTTGGTTCGCTTCCCCAAAATCTTAAATGCTTCACCATTGGTGGTCGGCCATTAGCGCCGTCGAATCCTCGCCGCTTGCCTATAAATACAAGGTTCAATTTTGGATAAACTTTACTTCAATCTTCATTCCACCTCCAAGCTCCTTTTATATCTCCCTCTCTTCATCTCTTCTCTCTCATTACCCGTTACTCTCATTCTTTTAGTGCCAGAAAATACAACACTCCGCCTATCTCCACTTCATTTAGTTTGAATTAATGCCGAAAACTTCCAAAACAGTTCCTCAGAAAGAGAAAGCTTCATCCTCCTCTTCCTGGCCGGCCGGTGATAAAGCGCCGGCTCTTCACGAGATCATACTCGGCCCCTACGTCATAAAGAAAGACTTCAGAGTTGAAAATCACCCCGCGATTCCTGGCCGATGCGAGTACGTTTCGAGGTACGTTTGCTTGATAACAGAGAAGCACATCAAGGCAAAGAAGAAAGACTGTGGCTGGGGGGACGAGGTTATGGTACAGATCCCTGACCCCGAGGAGAGCATTACCACTCATGTGGAGGGGTTCCTAAGTGTTTACACTTACCCCTTCACACTGGGGCCCCTCAATCCAGTCGTGATCGACTTCTGCAAAAGATATCAAGTTTACCCTCGTCCAGATCCATCCTTCTTTATGGCATATAGTGACTATGCTTCGTTACTTCTCCGACAAGGCCGAGGGGCTAGAGTTCACCCTCAACCACCTCATCAGATTGTATCGACCTCAGATTTTCCCAGGGCTGATCAAGCTCCAACGCCGATCAAGCAAGGCCTTCTTCGCTAGCAATGACGATGATAAGGACCGGGGCTGGATGAGCCAGTTCGTGCGAGTGAGGATCTCAGACGTCATACGCGAGGGTAAAATGCCATTCCCAGAGAAATGGAACCCCGATCATAAGTGAAGTCCTTTCCCTAGTGTCTTCTTATATTCCGTTTTTGCATTATGTGATGTCTTTACCTTTTTTGCAGCGGTTGCTTGGATGCCCCATGCGATCCACGACCTCGAAGAATGGGTCCGAAAATTAGCTGCGACCTCCTCGTATAACGAGCGCAAATGCCTGACTTGTCGAAAGGCAAATGGGAGGCCAAACACCACGATAAGTCCTTCTCCCAAGTTTTTGACGCTTTCCCTTTATTGGAAATGTCACCTTACTCATGCCTGTTCTTCATTCATGTAGGTATTAGAGATGCCTCCGAAATGAGGCCAGTCCCGCCCGGGGAAGAGACTGAGTCCACGATTCGAAAGTTGGGGAAAGATAACAAGAGAAAAAGGTCTTCGAAACCCGAAGACCCCCAAGACAGGAGGTCCCCTACTCGAAGGCTAAGGAGGAAACTTCTTCACCTGGACATAAACTCAATCCATCAACTGAATGATGAAGAAGAAGATGAGGGCGAAGAACCGGCACTGGTAACCCAAGCACGGAATCTAGTCGAAGCCGTCAAGCCCTCCGAACCGAAGACCCTGCCTCGTGGTGAGGAGGCTCCGAAGAAAAGTGTAGGCAAAGCCCCCGAATCTCCTGAGGTCGAGATCGTTCCTCCACCTCCAACAAGCACACCAAAGGGGACAAGTACCGAGATACCTGCATCTAAACAGAGCGCCTTGAACGACATACTCGGGGCCATGACAATAGGTCACTCTCCTCCTCTACCAACTTATTCTGAGGAGGCAATAAGGGTAGCTCAAGCTCTGCAAACGCCTGACCCGAGCGAAGTCCCCGGTGAAGAAGATCCTTTCCGGGATTGCTTTACTGGGGTCGATGATGCCGCCGCCTCAACGACGCATCTACCCTCTTCGAAGAGGCTCACTGTCTTTTTGCTCGGGTAAGCATTAACTCTTATTGTTGCAATTCCTTCTTCTTCCTCTACCCTAACTGATATCTCTTTTTCTGCATAGGCCATTACCAAGTTCAGGGCCGAGCTGAGCCAATGTGAGGCCGAGACCAAGAAGTCTTCGGCAGAAGGGAAGGCGAGGCTCCTTTGCAGCCAAAAGGAGGAGGAGCTCAAGGACATTCGGGCAGACTTGGCCAAAGCTCGTCAAAATGAGGCCGAACTAGACAAGAAAGTAGCCATCATTTTGCAAGAGTATGGTCTACTTGACCCAACTTTGGAGGCTAACACTTCATTATCTCAACTGTAGCAAAAATTGGAGATGATCGGGCAGCTTCGAGGGGAGGTCGATCAAGTTAAGGCCGACTGCAACCAGTGGAAGGAAAACATGGATTGGCTTGCTACTGAGAAAGAGGCTGCTCTAGCCAAACTGGCCTTGGTTGAGACCCAGCTTCGGGGTGCCAAAGTGAAAAATCATGCCTAGGCCAAGAAGATCGATGAGCTCGAGGCCAAACTTGCCGCAACCCAGGTTGAGGTTGCTGAGGCCATGGCTGATAAGACCGTTGCTGTGTACCTAAAGGATGCCGAGGCTACTCAAATAGAACTAAGGGAAGCCTCCAACCGGGAGAAATGGATTAGTGATTTGGCCAAGTGTCAATCCCGGAGGGAGACTCTCGAAGAGATACATGCTCGGGGTTTCGACCTCACCGAGGAGATAGTCCAAGCAAAAGCGCTCGAAGCCGACACCAAGTTTCTCGTTTCCTCCTCTGACGATGATGATGATGCCGAAGGCAACTAAAGCGGGTTCGATAATGAAGCTGGGCCCGAAGAGGAAGCTGCTCCCGAGGGAGAGACCAGCCCTGGGCATAGATAGGATTTTCCTTTCTCTTTTTGTATTGTTCTTTTTTGTAAGACCTTTCATCGGTCTCTTGTATATACCTTTTTCCAAGAATATAAAAGAAGAAATTCCTTGAATGTTTTCTTGATATTTATTGTCTTATAAAATTCTTGTAATAATTTCATTCTTTAGATGGTGTGTTCGAGATTTTATCTCAGACGGTTTCTTTGTAATTGTCGTAGTCGAGTTCGAATAAGGTTCAAATTTTGGGGCATAGACCTTTATGGGCTCGTGCCGGATAGTGGTGAGTCCCCGAGCCATAATCAAGCTATTATTTATTTAGGCTTGGGATAATCGAACCCTTGGATTCGGATCGGGTGAGAACAAGGTCTCAAACCCTAAGTGTATCGGCCCTTAGACTCTTTTACGTCGGGACATTATGGCCTCTAAGAGATGGCTATTATTTCCCCTTTTCGGCTTAGTAGACTTGGTAAAAATTTACTTATGCCATGGCATGCATTTTTTTTTACCCATTGGGTTTTTTTGAGGGTTCTGTGTCGATCGGAACCCTTTGTTTTTAGTGCCTTAGCACGAGTTCGTATTTGAAAAATTCGATACCTCTTAAGGTTTTTCGAGGGATGATTTTATCGAAGCATTTCGATTATTTTACCGAGGGTAGCCTTCACTTAACCGGTTTTTTGAGAATTCGAAGGCCTGTTTTTATTGCGGAATCCGAACGTCTCCGAGCCGCATTATTTTGGCTGTAGCCTTTAATATGTCCGTAGCCTTCGGGTGTGTCTCTTGGACTTGTTTCCCGATAATTTTTCGAACTTGTCCGAAAGCTTAGTCCCCGAGTATGATGGCCTTGGCCTTTGCGTCGAGGGATGCTGAGGTCTTATAAATTTAAGTTTTAGATACTCGAATGTGTTGATTGTCGATGACACTCCCCGAGTATTTGAGGTGTATTTGCATTTTGGCCCTTGAGTCGTTTTTCGCCGAATCACAAGTATGGAGCTCGTATAGTAGCGAATTTCTTTGGGACACAAAGTGTTTGATATAGGAAGAATGCTTCTTTGAATAATTCATACATGCGTACATGTTTTTCCATCGGGGCTCGACTATTCTACACGGACACGGTTCATCTGATCGATTGGCCCATTACAAAGTTTTCCTATCGAGGCCCTCTTTGGTATGAAGTATTTTTCTTGAAAACATAACCTCCGAGGGTGATGCCCTCCAGTATTCGAGGTTGATTGAAAATAAGCCTTGGATACTGTTGAATTCTCCCTAGGTAGCACATAGTTGTTTCCTCGTTTAAAACCTCGCCGGAAAAACCCATTTGGGATAAAACCCGATCTAAGGGAAAAAGATTGC